ACCTCGGCGGACCCGGTCCGCGCGAGCCGCTCCGGCGGCACGGAGCCGCTCTCCTAGGCGCCGACAGACCCTACGCGGGCGCTGAACGCGTCGGCTGCTCGCGGGAGCCCTGAAACGCGCGCGGCGGACGCCGTCGACGCTGCGCGCTCGGCCGACCGTCTCGGCGCGACGAGCGCGCTCGCCGTCGGCGCGCACGCGACGAGCTCGACCGTCTCGACGACGAACACCATCGTCGCGGAGGTCCCCGACCGCTACACGGACGTCGTCGCCGCGCCCACGGCCTCGCCTACCAGTTCGCGGAACGACGCTCTTTGACGACCTTCTCAAGCCCGGAGATCGACGACTAGTTCGCCGATTGCGAGCCGCTGGTCGGCTTCCGCACGTTTTTCATGATGCTCGAGCTCGCCGACGACGAGTTCGCCGCCGCCGCCGCCTCTGGGAGCTCGGCGCAAAAAGGGTGGGGGGTTTTGAGAGGGGGCGCCTCTTAGCCTAAGCCTATTTGCCGCCCGCTAAAAACCTCTTACCCCCCCCCCTTTTTTGTGGGGGGGTTTTTGGTCAGCCGACTTGAAGCGGACGCCGAAGCCGTGGACCGCGGATCGTGCGCACGTCGCTGGCCGCGACCCCTGGCCCTCTCGGGCGCCTGCGACCCCGTCGCCGGGCGCCCCGGCACCCCCCGCCCCTACGTTGGGCGCTGCGTCGAGTGTGACGACGGCGTCGGCGTACGGGCACGGCCTCGGGCCGGAACGTGTTCCGAGCGTCAACCTCGGCGGACCCGGTCCGCGCGAGCCGCTCCGGCGGCACGGAGCCGCTCTCCTAGGCGCCGACAGACCCTACGCGGGCGCTGAACGCGTCGGCTGCTCGCGGGAGCCCTGAAACGCGCGCGGCGGACGCCGTCGACGCTGCGCGCTCGGCCGACCGTCTCGGCGCGACGAGCGCGCTCGCCGTCGGCGCGCACGCGACGAGCTCGACCGTCTCGACGACGAACACCATCGTCGCGGAGGTCCCCGACCGCTACACGGACGTCGTCGCCGCGCCCACGGCCTCGCCTACCAGTTCGCGGAACGACGCTCTTTGACGACCTTCTCAAGCCCGGAGATCGACGACTAGTTCGCCGATTGCGAGCCGCTGGTCGGCTTCCGCACGTTTTTCATGATGCTCGAGCTCGCCGACGACGAGTTCGCCGCCGCCGCCGCCTCTGGGAGCTCGGCGCAAAAAGGGTGGGGGGTTTTGAGAGGCGGCGCCTCTTAGCCTAAGCCTATTTGCCGCCCGCTAAAAACGTCTTACCCCCCCCCCTTTTTTGTGGGGGGGTTTTGGTCAGCCGGCTTGAAGCGGACGCCGAAGCCGTGGACCGCGGATCGTGCGCACGTCGCTGGCCGCGACCCCGG